GTAATTTATGTATTTCATAAATACAATTTGCAACTTAGGGTGGTTGAATATTATGAGGAATTTAAATCATATAAATTGATTAATTGAGGATGCAGTACTGAGTCTTTGTTGGATGTAAATAATCTACAAAACTATAATATTAGTAGTGGTTGAGAGTGTTGACAAGTTGGCTAGTTGATGGAAAGTTGGAAATTAGGACTGAACAAAACCTGCATAAATTTTCTATGATATATTCCAAGTGTGTAACGATGCTTGTCAATGGGTGAGCCGATCGCCCATATATATAATTTCTGAATGCGTTGAGCTTAAGTGACAGATTTGTGTGTTTCGTAAGCTTATTTGACATAAATTGGTGTTTCATATTGACACATGGTCAGGTTTGGTTTTCACTATTAGGCTTGAGAATTGTCGTAAACTATTTTAGCTTTCATTTTTTCTTAAATTAACATATACCATTCTTACATTTTTTATTTAATTCATATAGTAGTTATTATAAATATGTATTCTTTTTATTTTTAAAACTTTATAATTTTTTTATTTGTATTTTGAGAAGTATTATAAAATATTATTCCGTAATTTAAATGGATCATATAAAGAACTGAATGTTATTATGTTATTTAAAATAATAAATATAAAAGAATATTATAATTTAATATAACAAAACTATTTTGTATTTCATATAGTTAGAAAATAATACATTTCTACGTAAATTCTAAATTATTAATATATGAATTTAAAATATTTGAAAAATTAATAGATGTGAGACGCTAACTCTAAAAATATAAAATATAATAACAAAGTTGTTTTGTTTAAAAAAAATTAAATATATTGAGTTGTAAAATATATAGTTTTACACATAAATACTTTTAAAAATATAATAAAAAATATATATATTTTTTTGGGCAAAATGTGTAAAAGTACGGGCACCATTTGAATTAACTATCACTTTGTTAGCTATTTATTATTGTTGCATATTCTTCATACATAATTTTAAAATAAAATATAATTTTTATTTTACAAATATTAATATATTTAAGTACCCGTATAGTACACGGGTATTGTATTAGCGTTATAATGAAATAAAGAATGATATAAAATAACATGGTGTTATGATTTTCTTATTTTGCACATCACATTATTTTTAAAATCAACAATTGTTAAATTTGCATACCCTTTTTTTTTCATCTTTTATGTTAAATAAATCAATAACTATTAAATATATACACTGATCCACAAGTTCTTCCCATACTGGAAATAGAATGGTCTTCCAACTTCAGCTACGATCACTTGCAAAACACTGTACGGTCACATGCAAAACACTGTCTAGATGAGGTCTCAGCGGAAAACCTCCAACACTAAAGTTAGATACGTGACTTTTTATTGGGAAAAGATATATTACACGTAATGATTTATAAACCTGACAACCTCCTTATTATATACTGAGGTTGTCTTCCCATTTAAACCATTATGTTACTAGAAACTAGATATACACATATCTCGTTTCTAGTATGACACATCTCTTAAATCTTCCATCCTTCTATAAAATACTTTTTCGTAATAGTGGAATTTTGTGTAACTTTCAAATATAACCTTTTGGATGCTTAGGTTGCTATTCCGGCCTACTGAACTTTCTCATGTGTCTCCAATTGGGTCGCTTATGCGAGCCTTAGAATATCTAGTCTTTTACCAATTCAAGCTCTTTGATGAGGTTGAACCCCTATCCCCCAAGCTCTAATTGCATTCTCTCAAGCATTGTTCACCGAATTGTAGAAGACCTAAACCGGCTATCCGAGCTAACAACTCCTAACCAATTCACCAAGCAAATATGAGTGTTATATCATATGCATCATTTTTTTATCGTTCGTCAAACAATTATGTCAAAACAAAGTGACTCTAAGTTTAATTTTTCATAAAATAGTCAGTAAATTATTTTAAGAAAATGATAAAATAAACCAAAGAGTAATTATTTTAATTTTATTTTCTAACATTATTTGAATATTCAAAGTTACCAAACTTCACATTCCAAAAAGGTAAATTACCAAAATATGTACGTGAATTTATTTGGTGAATATTTTATTTTATAATGTATACGCTTGTAAGAACGATTAAGCAACGGACAAAGGGAACATACAGGAAAAGGATAAGAAGAAAAGAAAAAGAAAAGCAGGGCAGAAGTAAGCCATCGGCGGTGCAACCTTCGTTCGTCATAAATATTAAGAACAGTAAAAATCCATTGGTTGGAAATGGTTTTCAACAGCCCACTGGTGGTTGGGGTGGCGAAGGTATCGGCAAACGCTTGCCAATACATAGCGTGCAACCCTGAGCGGCTGAGCACCGACGAGGTCCTCCACCTCCTTTTCTGCTTCCCCTTTCAGCAGCTCAGCCGCTTCGCGTTCTGCCTCTGTTCTTTCTTCTGCTTCCCCCATCCGGGAAATCCTTTTCTTACATCATCCTCTTCTTCTTCTTCGTCTTCTTCCTCCGACGATTCTGATTTTTATGAGGAAGACCTACACT